AATCAGTTCCGATAAGCTGATAACAGAACAAGTATTTCTACGGAGATGTATATTTATTTAGGTGGGAAAACAGTTTTTCTGTAGATTATTTTTATAATTCGTCCGATTTTTTATTATTTTTTTGTATCATTACAGAAACCTGTCTAAGACGGTCTCTGTGATTGGGCATAAAAACGAAAATATTAGCTAGTTATTGAAAGCATTATTAATTTTGATATATGACAAAGCTACGAAAACTGAAATATCTATTCTTCACTAATTAATTGCATGTTGGTTGTTGTTTTTTTTTCGAACCCAAAGAACAGTACTCTACACTCTTATTTTCTACGGCCGTTTAACGAACCAATACCTATTGAAACACGTGGTTAAGGTTCAGGGTACGTTCTTGATGACGTCATCAAGGCTGGGACCAGTCGTTCAAAGGAAAACAAAAAATTGAGAGTTTTCGTGGTGGTGGCGTACATTACTTGTCTCAGAAAGTGAGTTATTTGTAGTCTCCAGGCCTTCACGGTTTTAGAGAAAGTCCCATCTCCGCATACTATTAGCCTTGAAGAGATCAGCGCAGAGCAAGTAGGCTGCAGTACCGGCAAAGGTTAGATTCCGTTACATTGATTGTTCATCAATTTAATCTATCAAATGAAGGTTAAAACTTAGCCTAAATTTCTAGTTATGTAAATTAATAGACGTTGCTGTAGAAGGTGGTGAAGAGGGAAGAACAAAAAGCAAATTAAACCTCGAAGTAAAACAATAACAGAACAACTGACTACTCCCCGATAGAAGCTACAAATATGATAAATCATTATTAGATGGGTAAAATCTAAATGATGCCACCTAGCGGAAATATGTTTTAAAATGGTCGTTTCATAAATACTGAAAAATAGCCTCTATGCGATAACTAATGTAAACATAACTGATAAAACTAAGGCATTTTCTCAGTAAAACATTTAACTTACAAACGAATTCGTTTCACAGCAAAACATCCAGACCAGTGATTCTGAACGTTGGGCGCACGCCCGACAGAGGGGCAATTTGAAAATGGTACAATAAGAAAAAAAATTCATTTCGGTGTGAAATTTTAGTAAATTACTAAATTTTACATTATATTATTTTACCTTTTCAACACCAAATTTGTTTTTATATTAAGGAGACATCAAATTTTTTGAGGTGTCGAGGTGGGGCATGGAGCAAAAAAAAAGGTTAAGAACCACTGATCCAGACGTTCTTAATTATGAGATAGAGGAAACAAAAGGTTAAAGTTTCTTACAAGGCGAAAATGCTGCCTCGACAGAGTTTTAATGCTAGGATCGCGAATAATATATTTACTGTATTTAGACGTTTAGGTATTAATATTTTTTGTTCTTTATTTTTTGAAATTTTGCGATTGTAGACGTGAAGTGTTTATATCGATTGTTACCATAGTAATGTATCTTGTGTTTTATTTTCTGGAATTGAAATTGGTCCGATAATTAGAAATGCTTAAGGAAAGCCATTAATTTGATTAGATTTACATATATGATAATCGTAAACGATATGTTAAGTATAGTGGTTAAGACTAATTAATGCTAAGTCGAAGATTAGTAAGATGAGAACATTTTCGGTGTACATGCTATTAAACATTTGTTTCCTAAAATACCATATTCATTTCTTAATTACACTTTAGGGATTATTAAGTACCAGTGTAAGTAAGCGTTACGTTGTCATATCTGTTTTAAGAAATTTAATTACTTTTGAGGGGTTATTGAGTACCAGTGCAAGTAAGCGTTACGTTGTCATATTTATGTTAAGAAATTTAATTAAACTTTAGAGTTATTGAGTATCAGTGTAAGTAAGCGTTACGTTGTCATATCTATTTTAAGAAATTTAATTACTTTTGAGGGGTTATTGAGTACCAGTGCAAGTAAGCGTTACGTTGTCATATCTGTTTTAAGAAATTTAATCAAACTTTAGGGGTTATTGAGTTCCAGTGTAAGTAAGCGTTGCGTTGTCATATTTATTTTAAGAAATTTGATTAAACTTTAGGAGTTATTGAGTACCAGTGTAAGTAAGCATTACGTTGTCATATTTATGTTAAGAAATTTAATTAAACTTTAGAGTTATTGAGTATCAGTGTAAGTAAGCGTTACGTTGTCATATTTAAATAAGAAATTTAATTAAACTTTAGGAGTTATTGAGTACCAGTGTAAGTAAGCGTTACGTTGTCATATTTATTTCAAGAATAATAATAACATAATGGTAATAATCACGATGTTCACCAAAGTGTTCTTGAAGTTTGTATTTTGTAAATTTTCTTTTACTTCAAATAAAACGAAATCCAGTGATTTTTGTTTGTTTGTTGCTAAATGATAAGCACAAAGTTACACAATGGGCTCTGCCCATCGCGGGTATCGAAACCCGATTCTTAGCATTATAAGCCCTCAGACTGAATTCAGTAAAAAATATTTTTCTGAGTATCCATTTTTTTTTTGGTAATGATAGACATTGTTTAAGAATGAGTTAATTTATGCTTGCGCTATCTGTTTGAAAAAAAAAATGACATAAAAAAAAAGACATCAGTTGTTGTGGTCTGATCATATAAAAATCTGTACTACACGTACAAAAGAATTTGGCATAATAATCGTAAAAGATTCTTTTTCTGTGTGAAAAATGCTACTTCCTCTCTAGCCAATATTAAACGAACTGTAGGGAAAGAATTCCTAGAAGCAGCAGTTTTTATATAGAAATACTTGGAATGCAACTTCTAGGTTCGACTAGTGAATCCGAAATGTATGATACGATCTGTAAGTCGACAAGTTCCTCTTATCCTACTTCTACTGTTTTGGCCGAACTGGTGTTGTTTACCTCATTCTTCGTGTAGTTTTTATATAGAAATACTTGGAATGCAACTTCTAGGTTCGACTAGTGAATCCGAAATGTATGATACGATCTTCTTATCCAACTTCTACTGTTTTGGCCGAACTGGTGTTGTTTACCTCATTCTTCGTGTAGTTTTTATTTGTTAGTTCTTGAAAAACAAGGAAAGGAGGAGAGAGGGGGAGGATAGGGTAGGGCCGAGGCAATACCCTGTGTGAGGTTGAATATAGTGCCCTTAGGTTTTGTTGGGTCACAACCTTCGAAGCGGAACACTGTTTCCTGAGAAAGTTAAGAAATCTTTATGGAAATTTTCTTTCCAGAATTTTAGGGTTGTCTAACTCACGTTTTTTTTTTTTGTTTTAGGTTACATGCAAGTTGTCTAGATTTTTGTTTCTCTTTTCAGAGTACAAACACGGTTCTTACAAGATTTGTAGAAAAACAAGTGTTTTGCTGGATTCGGAATTCATGATTTTGTAATCAGTTGTTTGTGATAAAGTACATTTTTATTTCGGCGAATCCAATTTATTTTGCACCCAACAAATTCAGAAAGTCATAGTTAGTAGTAAACAGTATGACTTGTATTTATAACTAATCCTTGTTCTAGCTATCTTGCAAAATATCTTGATCATTACATCATCATTACAGAAATATGCAAAAAATTGCTTAAGCCATGAAATTTTAGCGCTGTTGGCTATACTTTAAAGTAATATTATCGCCATTTCGTACATTAATATTGTTTGTAATTAAGGGTATAGGGATAACAGATATACAGAGATATTCAATGTAAGCGTATTATTTACGTCACATACTTATCATTATCACGTGTGTGATTGTGATTGTGTACTATACACGTAGTAATCCAATTTTTTTATTGTCTCCTTTGAGTATGATATAAAATTGGGAGTGCCTTACCAACTGAGTGAAAGGGTTAACATCTAAACATTTCAAATAAAGAATTTTTAAATATTTTAATTAAATTACTATAATATCCCCTCTCATAAACACGACCCGTCTAGTTGAGCGCCAGTTTTTTTATGTGGTATATTTTTTGTATTTCCTCTCATCGAACTGAAACGGATATTTTACCAGTTTTTTATGAGGTAATATTTTATTTTTGCATTTCCTCTCATCGAATTGAAACGGATATTTCGCATGTCAGACGAGCGCTCTAAGAACTGAACTAAATGGTTGATTCAATAGTTATTTTCAGCTCTGTTCAGTTCTTTTAGCAACTTAAGCTGCATATATCACATGCACAGCTGATTCCCACAGTAACGATACTTTCGACTGTTTTTCAAAGCTGTTCAATTGAAGGGACATCCGGTGACTGTGCGATCAAGGAAAACTATTGATGTCACTGACATGTTCTTTAGATCGAGGTGGATTGTTGCATTATTGACTTGAAAGAGTCCTCATTCATCAGGAGGATTGTTGGGTGATTATGATCAAAAACAACAATCATTGTCTTAGCTAAAGCAATAAAACATTATACTGTGAGAACCCTTGCTACAGCATTATTCCAGTCCTAACAGCCTGCACTGTTAGAATAAGACAAGCAGGGTCAATTGCATCATGTGGCTTTCTCGACATTTTTACTCCACCTAGCGTAAGAGCCCCCCAGTGGCACAGCGGTATGTTTGCAGACTTATAACGTTAGAATCTGGGTTTCGATACCCTTGGTGGGCAGAGCAAAGATAGCCCATTGTGTAGCTTTTTGCTTAATTACAAACAACAAATAAACTAGCATAAGAAAAATGCTCCCTGACACCCATAGTCCATAGTCTACTATTTAAACAATTTTGAAACTTTGCTTTTCTTCAAAAACTGACAACATTTGTCAGTTTAGACACATTCTGATGTCGAATATTTTGTCCTCAGTCACACGTCAGGAGTTGTTGAAATGTTTTCCTAGTAGCTGGATGTTCTCTTTCAATTGCTACTGTTGATAGACTGTAATGATGAATTTGGTTGAACAGCCAGACGAAGAAAAAACTTTGAAAATGACGTTCCCGCTACACTGGAATGTATAACCACACGTCTTTGATAGTCGGAAAGATTCTTGCTCTTACCTATCACCTTTCAGACTAATTAATAACAAAATGACTATATTGCTGCTGCAGAACTTACATCAAATGAACATTTTATTTTACATGAGCAAATAAATAAATGCTGTAAACTTGAGCCATTTTATTTTACATGAGCAAATAAATAAATGCTGTAAACTTGAGCCTTTAGGTTTTAAAAAAAATGAAAGCCAGTTTATGGAACTTTCTGCGTCAATAATCAAAGTATTATTCAAAAGTAATGTTCATGAAATTAAATATTACTTGGGGGGGGGGGAGTTAAATCCAGATAAATGGAAATAATTTAGAAAAAAAAGCACTAAAATACGAGTAAGAAATAACTTTTTACTTGTTTTCCTATCAAACCTTAGCGAGTAAACGTAATTCGGAAATGCTATTTTTCTGCTTTTCACTCTTGCTTATTGGAGTCGTACATACATCTGATAAGGATAAGTTACACAGTAGGCCAACTGTGCTCTGCTGACCACGGGTATCGAAACTCGATTTTTAGCGTCGTAAGATCCCGTTCGGTTTGATAAATTTAATTACCATTAATTTTGATTATTTACCGTTGCAAGAAAGCGAGTTTTGGTTTATGGATGTTAAGTTTTAAGTGCTTGTTTACTTTGTATCCTTTAATTATGTTTTACAGAATGTCTTATTCGCTTATTAAGTTTCTGATACCTATTTATGCAAATTGTATAACAGGAGAAAATATCTAAGCTGAAAAGGGTATAACAGTGGAAAATATCTAAGCTGAAAAGGGTATAACAGTGGAAAATATCTAAGCTGAAAAGGGTATAAGACGAGAAAATATCTAAGCTGAAAATGGTATAAGACGAGAAAATATCTAAGCTGAAAAGGGTATAACAGTGGAAAATATCTAAGCTGAAAAGGTATAACAGTGGAAAATATCTAAGCTGAAAAGGGTATAACAGTGGAAAATATCTAAGCTGAAAATGGTATAAGACGAGAAAATATCTAAGCTGAAAAGGGTATAACAGTGGAAAATATCTAAGCTGAAAAGGGTATAAGACGAGAAAATGTCTAAGCTGAAAAGGGTATAAGACGAGAAAATGTCTAAGCTGAAAAGGGTATAAGACGAGAAAATATCTAAGCTGAAAAGGGTATAACAGTGGAAAATATCTAAGCTGAGTAACATCACAGCAATCTGGCGGTGAATGTTTGTTTTAACAGCACTGCATAACCCGATTCACTGGACTTGGGACACAAAAATCGGCATGTTTCCAAGAGACTACGTGCCGTAACTTTGTCGAATATCTTACGTTAACACGTGAACATGAAATTAACTTCAGATTGATTCCTGTATAAACAGAAAATGTTTCATTGCAATGAGAATGTGCCTTAAAACAAGAATATATATCTATATAACCATAACTTTATCTCAAGTATTAATTTAATACGCGAAAATATTAATTTGTTCTATGAAATTCTTGCATAAATAGAATGGTTCAGTACAATGAGAATGTGCCTTAAAACAAGAATATATATATATATATAACCAAGAAACTTCCCTATGTCTGTATCCTTCGGTTTCTGTCACTGCACTGATGGAAAATGAATAGAAAGATATAAATGAGCCTGATAATTGCATTTCACTGAATACAATTCCAATGACGTCATAGCCATATCCGAATGATACACTATCTGCCTCAGGTAATATCTGCACGCGAATCGTTTCATTTCTGCACTACTGTTACATATGTAATATTTTCTGGACAACCAAAAAATAAAACCAAGGTAACCAAACTTTAATCATTAGGAAACTCTTTTACCAGAAGAACAGCGTTTTAAGAACAAGTCGCTCGACTATGAAAGGTGCTTAAATCATTTGTATTTCGTGTATGTCATGTCAAACAAATGTGTATTGATGGCCGTGTGGCTAAGCATGACTAAATAAATGATAGCGTTGTGTTTTAATAATCTTAGGAACCATTCATTTAGTGCACAGGAACTAGGAAAGCCGCCCTCTTCTTGAAGACAGAGATAGATGTTTTTAGAATCACTGACAATGTTCTGAACATTCACTGAAAGATATTTTAAAATTGTAGCCTGAAGAGATTTAGTAAAAAAGAATAAAACCACAAAATGTTGTGGTTCAGTATAATTATGTCATGTTTTTGTTTAGCAAGGCCTAGTTATGGAGAAGAGTAATAATAAAGTCTTCTTGCCGAAAGTGGACAGGACAAGTTTCGAAATTTTTTAATAGGCAGCTTTCGAAACGTTGACTTTTTTTTTTTAATATCACTGAACCCGAACATTAAGTTTTTTTAAGTTATACATTTTTTTTAGTATCCAGAATCAATTGATGCAAATCTCTATCGGTTTAAAGTTGTTAGAAGAGCAATACGCTTTCATAAGGCTGGTTTTTGTAAATATGTTTTTTTTTTAAATCTTTGAGTTTTAGATATGAAGTCAAAACAACATTCTGCCCAGCGACACTACTGATGCTAGTTAGCTTCAGGTTGAATGGATGACTTTGTGAAAGCGTATATATATATATTTTGAAATTATTGGACGGAGTTTGACCAAACTTGGCAAATGTGTAAGAGTTATAAGCACATTGCACACTACGAAAAATAAAAAAAATACCCGCCCTACTAATGAGACAAATTTGGTTTGTTTGGAATTTCGCTTAAAGCTACACGAGGACTATCTGTTATATAGCCGTCCCTTATTTTGAAGTGATAGACTAGAGGGAAGGCAGATATTCAACACCACCCACCGCCACATCTTAGGCTATTCTTTACTAACGAATAGTGAGATTGACTGTCACATTATAACGCCCCCACGCTTGAAAGGACGAACATTTTCGGGGAGAGGATTGGAATCCACGACCCTCAGGTTGCGAGTTGAGTGTTATCTTGGGCTATTCTTTACTAACGAATAGTGAGATTGATTGTCACATTATAACGCCCCACGCTTGAAAGGACGAACATTTTCGGGGAGAGGATTGGAATCCACGACTCTCAGTTTGCGAGTTGAGTGTTCTAGCCACCAGGGAGAGAACGTGCGTGGAACAATCGTTTGGTGTTCAGCAGAAAAATTGTCATTTATATTTATAAAAAGTAAAAATGTCAACTACTGTATTACTATAAATCATATAATAATTAGACCAGCTTTTAAACGTAAGAAGACTTTTAGTTCAACCCAAAACCTACCCCTTTTGAATATTACTTTATACACAGATTATATTTTTAAAATATCTCAGATGTAGGCTTATTAATCAGACTCACATGTTTTTAATTGATTTTTTATTTACGGTTAATATTATTTGGGAATAAATTATTCTTATAGTTAAGAAATCATATTGTGTCAGTGCTTTTTTTTCTATACAAAAATCACTGCATAAGTAGTCAAATCTTTCCAAGAATAACTTTTATCCACAACTAAATGTCGAATTCCTGTCAGTTGTATGAATTCAGGTTTGAGTAAAAGTATTTAAACTGAATAGTGCTATTCATTCTAACAGACGCTAATAGTCAGTGCTTTTTAACAGCCCAGATTTAACAATTAAGACATCATATTGTGTCAGTGCTTTTCACAGCTCAGATTTAACAATTAAGACATCATATTGTGTCAGTGCTTTTCACAGCTCAGATCTAACAATTAAGACATCATACTGTGTCAGTACTTTCTCACAGGTCAGATTTAACAATTAGGACATCATATTGTGTCAGTGTGTTTTTACAGCTCATATCTAACAATTAAGACATCGTATTGAGTCAGTGCTTTTTCACAGGTCATATCTAACAATTAAGACATCATATTGTGTCAAAGGTTTTTCACAGCTCAAATCTAGTAACTTAGACATCATATTGTGTCAATGTTTTTCACAGCTCAGATCTAAGAATTAAGACATCATATTGTGTCAATGTTTTTCAAAGCTCAGATCTAATAATTAAGACATCATATTGCGTCATTGTTTTTCACAGCTCAGATCTAATAATTAAGACATCATAGTTATAAGAATACGCTCCATGATTTGGGGCAGTGGATGCTCTATAACAGTAACGGTAAAATCCCATTATGTGGTCAGACAAGAGTTGGCGGTGGGTGCAGTTGACTAACTACCTTCTTATTAGTCTACCATTTAAAAATCAGTCTGTTATCTTGTATAGCTTTGTGTAAAAATTCTAAGCAAACTATAAATGTTTTATACAGTAAGAGGAATTATGAGCTAAGTAAAATTTAGACGGTATTTAAAAAGCACATTAAAGACTGATTTGGTAGCAGTAAGTTAAAAACACATTAAAGGCTGATTTGGTAACAATGAGTTAAAAACACATTAAAGGCTGATTTGGTAACAATGAGTTAAAAACACATTAAAGGCTGATTTGGCAACAATAAGTTAAAAAACACATTAAAGACTGATTTGGTAACAATAAGTTAAAAACACATTAAAGACTGATTTGGCAACAATAAGTTAAAAACACATTAAAGGCTGATTTGGCAACAATAAGTTAAAAACACATTAAAGACTGATTTGTAACAATAAGTTAAAAACACGTTCAAGACTGATTTGGCAACAATAAGTTAAAAACACATTAAAGGCTGATTTGGCAACAATAAGTTAAAAACACATTAAAGACTGATTTGGTAACAATAAGTTAAAAACACGTTCAAGACTGATTTGGTAACAATAAGTTAAAAACACATTAAAGGCTGATTTGGTAACAATAAGTTAAAAAACACATTAATAACTGATTTGGTAACAATAAGTTAAAAACACGTTAAAGGCTGATTTGGTAACAATAAGTTAAAAACACGTTAAAGGCTGATTTGGTAACAATAAGTTAAAAACACGTTAAACGCTGATTTGGTAACAATAAGTTAAAAGTTTGTCAACCAAGTGCAGTTTTTTTTTTACTAGAGAACTTTCACATATGAAGGTATTTTGTTCACACAGTTCGATCACATTTTAATGTCATCAATGTTTTTTTTATCAGATAGAGAGGATGGTGTCAGGCTCGAGATTCTTTCTTCCTAGGACGACTACCAGCTCATTGCTTCTTTTGGTAAGTAAAACAAATTTAAGCCTAGATGGAAAGACCTCTTAATGAAAGCGAGCGCAAATGAATCCGTTTCAACTACAATTATAGCTCTCTTTCCTAATCAGTTTGCATATCTGTAATAATTTTTATAAAACTTATTTAAGTCATTATCTGCCCGTATATAAAAGGCGTTCTTTTTAATGTTACCTTAACGAAATTTCCTGGTTCGTGTCCAATGTTCCCTCTAATTTTTTCAATCCATGTGCGGAATGAATTTTTTCATGTGCATCAGTATCAAGGCAATGTGTGGATGTGCGCTATTAGTTTTTTTTAGAAGGGGGGGGGGTATTTTTAGACCGCTATTCCTTTTAGATCATTAGGCCATATTGCAATGCTACCAGTTGGTTATTTGGGCTTTAGGCCTATCGACTGCCAGGGTCATTAAGACGTCAACATTTTGAGACTCCTCACCATTACTGAGGATGTGTGCGGCTGGAATAATGAAGTGCGCGGGACTTGATTGGTTGTTGTGCGGGCGCGCAGCCGTACATCTCAGAGGGAACTACATGCACAATATGTTACTTTAAGTTACATGATTATTGATTTTGGCAAGTAAAATTCCACTAAATACAAACTTTAATTCTTTATTTTGCCGATAGATATTCACTTTGGCCTTTAATGTTATTATGGATTCTTTTGACTCATAAACTTAATGGGGAAAAAAAATTGATTTTTTTAATGACATAATTGCATGTTGTAACAATATTAATTATTCAAAAGTTTTAATCTAAAGTCATGGCTCCCGGGAATGGACTATTTTAAAACTAAGTTCGATTCCAAATAAGTCTAATTTCTGTCTCACTTTAGCTTCGTAAATTAAACCTTAAAACCACATGTTAGTAAATAAGGCGTTCCTCTAGTGTTATTGGTGCGTTATAAGAATGACAGTCAATCTCTTATCGTGGATGGTGGGCGATGGGGTGATGCCGACTGGCTGCCTTTACCCTGAACAGTATTTTGAAATTAGGGGCAGCTTTGCCACAAATACAAATGGAATATAATACATGAAAAATACTATGTTGACAAAAACACCTATCGGCCATACTTGTAACAATTAATTACAAATAATAATCAATAAATATCTTTCAAATATTTTCTTGAAAAAAACCACTTACGAAATAGCAATGAAATCTATTGCGAAGTTAAAAATAAATGAAAATATAATAGGGATAATTGTTTAGGGAAAGATACCAAGTGTTATTTCTATGTGATGTAAAAGATACTGGAGTAAATTCAAAGTTAAAGGGTACATTATCATGAAAGTTACATTTTTTTACAATGGTAAACTTTGATTAACTTGATTCTATTACCTATGACCTATGAAAAGTATTACATTATGGGATTGAAACATGTTGTGAATTTGTTTGTAGTTATGCACAAAGCTACACGATGGGCTATCTTTGTTCTGCCCACCACGGGTATCGAAACCCGGTTCCTAGCGTTGTAAGTCCGCAGACATACCGCTGTGCCACTGGTGGGGGGGCTGTTGTGAGTTTATTATGTCGTCTCTGATTAACAGTGTGATTTGTTTTAAAAATCTTACCGTTGGTAAGTTTGTAATGAACCTGTAAAATGGAGTTTGTTTGTTTGTTTGTTTTTGAATTTCGCGCAAAGCTACACGAGGGCTATCTGCGCAAGCCGTCCCTAATTTAGCAGTGAAAGACTAGAGGGAAGGCAGCTAGTCATCACCACCCACCGCCAACTCTTGGGCTACTCTTTTACCAACGAATAGTGGGATTGACCGTGACATTATAACGGCTGAAAGGGCGAGCATGTTTGGTGTGACGGGGATGCAAACTCTGATGCCGGGCCTGTAAAATGGCAGTTTTCTCTATCGTCACCTAGTTGTAATTTAGCGGGTTATTTAGGGCCAGTTTTCTCTATCGTTACCTTCTTTGTAGTTTTTGATTACAAAAGTTTCTTCAGTTTTTAGATGCTGTCATTACTGGCGTCTCTCTATTAGCAAGCCTCGTTATTTCGTTTCTCTATTTTGTTGAATATTGCACAAAGCCACTCGAGAGCTATCTGAGCTTGCTGTCTTGTACCTAATTTGAAAGTTATAGACTAGAAGGATTTGTTTGTTTTATGAATTTCGTGCAAAGCTACACGAGGGCTATCTGCGTTAGCCGTCCCTAATTTAGCAGTGTAAGACTAGAGGGAAGGCAGCTAGTCATCACCACCCATCGCCAACTCTTGGGCTACTCTTTTACCAACGAATAGTGGGATTGACGTCACATTATAACGCCCCCACGGCTGAAAGGGCGAGCATGTTTGGTGTGACGGGGATTCGAACCCGCGACCCGCAGATTGCGAGTCGAGTGCCCCCTAACCACCTGGCCATGCCGGGCCCACTAGAAGGAAGTTAGCTGGTCAACACCATCCACTGCCAACTCTTGAACTACTCTAATCGAATGGCGGAATTTGTCCTTTGCTCTTAATTAAAATGCACTCACGGCCTCAAAGTACTGAAAGCGATTTTTTTTTTGTCGATAACAAGGTGCAAGTCATGTAACCTCAGATCCAAAATCCGGCACGCTAACAACTAGGCTGCATTAACAAATCCACTATAAACAATTGTGTTACTTGTGTTACTAGCTTAGGACTTTCTACAACTGCAAGTTATCCTCCAATAAGTTAACAAAGGCGATTTGACTACGTAGTATTTAATTTTTAAAAACGTGAAAGTGCAAGCATTTTTTGTTAGTTAGCTAGACAATGGGCTATCTGTGCTCTGCCCACCACGTGTATCGAAACCCGATTTTTATTGTTATAAGTCGTCATCGTAGAGTAAAACAGTTTTAGTACTACATTTATAAATAAATATTTTAATCGAAAATCATAAGCTTAGTATAACCTTACTTCTCTAAAACTTGAAGCTATTAAATCATTCACACCACCTGAAGCTACTAAATCATTCACATCACCCGAAGCTATTAAATCATTCACACAATCTGAAGCTATTAAATCATGCATGCCAACCGAAGCTACTAAATCATTCACAACATCTGGATCTCTTAAATGATTCACACCATCTGAAGCTATTAAATCGCTCACAACATCTGGAGCTATTAAATCGTTTACAACATCTGGAGCTATTAAATCGTTCAAGTTATTTGAGCTATTAAATCATTCACAGTATTTGAAGTTATTAAATCATTCACAGTATTTGAAGTTATTAAATCATTCACAACATCTGGAGCTATTAAATCATTCACACCACCTGAAGCTATTAAATCGTTTACAACATCTGAAACTATTAAATCGTTTACAACATCTGAAGCTATTAAATTGTTCACAACATCTGGAGCTATTAAATCATTCACAACATCTGAAGCCATTAAATCGTTCACAACATCTGAAGCTATTAAATCGTTTACAACATCTGAAGCTATTAAATCGTTCACAACATCTGGAGCTATTAAATCGTTCACAACATCTGGAGCTATTAAATCGTTTACAACATCTGGAGCTATTAAATCGTTCAAGTTAGTTGAATCTATTAAATCGTTCACACCTACGAATCTCACCCTCATTACGTCATCCTCAGCTCCACTGTTAAGTATTTTCCATGATGTTTCAAAAGTTGGAACACCGTTTTCTGTCACCATATTTTCCTATACAGCTACAATGGTTTTGTTCTTCTCACCAAATACTGTTCTTTCCTCCTTCAGTACTTCTTATGCTCACGATAAAATTTTCGTGAGCTGTGATATCCCCCACCCACCGGTCGGAAGAGCTGTAACAAGTTTTATATCATTTATAGTGTGTACTTAACCTCTTGATGTCTGAACTTCGACTGAGATGCTCCAAATAATCGAAACGAAAAGCTGAGTCTCCCAATTTTCGGCTTTGTTTTGTAACTTCACTGACTTTTTTCTTTCCTCTTGTTTGTTGTCTGAAGTGTTCCTTTGACACGTGACACATATCGTTTCAAACTCGCGTGAGTTTGTTTCTTTTTCTCTGTCAGTAACAGCCGAAGAATCAATTTTTGTTTCCATTCTTCAGCTAGTTGCTGTTTCACAAGTTGTAAATAAATCGAAATCATATTATTTCGTTCACAAAGAACTGCAAGTATTGTAACAGTAGATTTTGCGTTACTCGGAAATGTTTGAAGAATTTACATTTTTATATAAATAACTTTGAGAATTTAAGTCTGTTGCTTCTAAGTCATAATTTTTATGACACTTTGATAAAAAAAGATTGATTATATTTATAATTTTAAATATGAACATATGATTGAATCAATATACAATATGTTGCCCCCCAGTGGTATGTCTGCGGACTTACACTGCTAGAATCCGGGTTTCGATACCCGTGGTGGGCAGAGCATAGATAGACCTTTGTGTAGCTTTGTGCTTAATAATAAAACAACAACAAAATGTTGGAAAAGTGTCAATAATTGGAAGTTTTCATATTGCAATATACCAAGAAGCAGACTGATTTCCCTTCAAAACATTGAAAACACATTTACAAGCTCATATTACATGATGTTCTAGCAGTATGAGTAAATGTAGTTGAGTGAAATAAAAAAACTTAAAATAAAACAAATATATATACAAAACTGTGAATTATCAAATTTTCGCCATATATTTGCATTTGGTGCCCTCTGACCTCATTTTCAAGTTCGAAGTCACATTTGAGCCCGACATCTATTCAGCATTTATTCTGCATAGTTTAAAGTATATGTCTACCATGGAAGCCAGCTTCTCAGAGAAAATGCCACGAAAACTTTTTCTAAGCATGTTTTCGGGGTTTGTCAGAATGGCAATAGATGATATATATATATATATTTCACATTAGACTTTTATTAAATGCATAAATGCTTTAATATTGGTCCACATTAAAAACTCAACTGCCATGTTTCGTATCGATTGCAGGCAAATATTCTAGTTTATTTTTAAAAAGACAGATGGCAGCATTACACATCATAGCGATATTGTCTTTAAATAGAAATATATCAACGTATATAAATACATTTCCCTGTAAACTTCTGTAAATTACATAAATTCATATGAATACACGTTCAGTTTGGCTGCGGAGTGTGTACTTCTTTTTATAAAAATATTTTTTTTAACTATTGTTTTTTCATGTCAGACGTAGTTACCTTTAATCTTTATTTTCAATCCGAAAATAATGTGCGGTATTACAAACTTAAACCATCACAAGACAGTAACAGCTACGAATTTGTGTTTCGGAGTTGATAAAGGGCACTCCAGATTTTATCCTCTCCTTGCCCATATCACGATACTTCAACTCCCCCTTTCCACCTTTATTGCTAATTTTGATCTTTTACCCCGGCCCTCCCAGTGGCACAGCGGACCCTACATTACCCGCTAAATTACAACTAGGTGACGGACGATAAAGAAAACTGGCTCTACATTACCCGCTAAATTACAACTAGGTGACGATAGAGAAAACTGGCCCTACAAAACCCGCTAAATTACAACTAGGTGACGATAGAGAAAACTGGCCCTACATAACCCGCTAAATTACAGCTAGGTGACGATAGAGAAAACTGACCCTACATTACCCGCTAAATTACAACTAGGTGACGGACGATAGAG